GGGGGGAGCAGCAGGCCAGGAGGACAGGCGGGTCCCTCCCTCCGCTCCTGAGCTTGCTGGGGAGGGAGACCCCGTTCTGCTGAGCTTACCGTTTTCAAACTCCTTCCTGAGAAGTTGGTTTTGTTTTGTTTTTTTAATGATTAGGGAGTTGGTCCATGTTGGCACATCCTTGCAGCATCACAGGCACTGTCAAGCTGCCCATCAGCCCCTGGGGCGGGGCCCTGCCTGGGCCCCTCTGTTCCTTCGCCGGTGGGACAGTGCTGGCCTGCCCCCTGCAGTGGGAGAAGCCGGCTGGTTCCTGTTACCAGAGGGCAAGGGCCAGTCGGGCCATATTACGGAGAGGAGAGGCGAGGGAAGGCGGGAAGTGGGTTTGGCCCAGGGAGGTGGGCTGAGGAGGTCTCACCCGGTCCAGGTAAGAGAGGTGTGGCTTTGTCGTTTGCTGGAGGCTGCAGCTAGTGGACCCGCCCGTCCCCCAGGCCTGGCCTCGCCCAGGGAGCTGCCGCCCCGCCCCGGGAGCCTCCTCTTCCAGAGCCAGGCAAGGCTGCCCGGCCTCACCTGGAGGCCAGGCCCAGGGTGCGGGCTCCGGACTCCCAGGAAGAGTGCACTGCGCACGCGCAAGGCCTTTCCCCGCCCCCAGGCCTGAGGAGGCTCGTGGGGTGGGGCTGGCGTGGCAGCCGCAGCGAGAGCCTGGCGGAGGCAGCAGTCAGCCCCCGCCTGCGTAAGGGGAGCTGCCGGTGCTTGCTCCCAGCTTCCCAAGCAAGGAGACGTGGCGCCCAGCCAGCCTCCCCACGCCGCCCGGCAGCTCACACCCTGTCGTCTGGGTGCTCCCCAGCCCTTCTCCGTGAGGGCCCGGCAGGTGGTGGGCCCGGGCACCGAAGGAGGGAGGCCAGGCAGTGGGCTGCAGGGAGATGACTCTGCAGGCGGACAAACCCTCCTGTAACGCGGGACGATTCTGCCCGCCTTGCCGCCAGGCCCTCCCCGCAGCTGGGGCTGAGGACCAAAAGGGGCCAACAGCGTGCTCACCTGGACTGCCCGGCGTGTAGGTCCTGGGGAGGCCTCCGAGCTGGAGCGTGGCCTGGGCGGGACAGATTCTGGTAATTGTGTGCACGCAGATGGGTATGTCTGGCCCTGGCTTCTGGGCAGAGAATCGTGGCTCCCAGGCCCCTGCTCCGACAAGGGGCCGCACCCACCTCCCTGTGCTGTCCTGTCTCCCTGGGCTGCCTTTGTCAGAGGGCACAGAGCTGTCTGCGGGCCCCAGTCCATCCTTTCCCTCCATCTGAGTCTGTCCCCCTCGAGGACTTTGAGCCATTGACGTGTGTTTTACATACAGTCAAATGCACAGACCTCAGTAGTGAAGAGCTTTGATAAATGTCCACAAATCAAGATACAGCGCATACCAGCTCCCTGGGTAGTAACCTGCGGGCAGGGCCCGTGTCCCTCGGCACCTGGCTCCAGGTGCCAGTTTGTGTGTTCCAAGCCTTTTCTCGACTGACTTGACCTCCTGGACACAGGGCCTCTCCCTCTCTCCCTAGTGGAAGGGGCCCTGGGTGCCCTGGTTGTGTCCAGACCCCCCTGGGCTTGGTGACGTCACTGAGCTCACAGGGTCCAGGCTGAGTCCACTTGCTGGGGCTCTGAGCTCTCCCCTTGTCCTGGCGTGGTACCCACCCAGGGCCCCCAGGACCCAGGAAGGTGGGAGCTGGGGACTGATGCTCTGCCCCTCGGGTGTTGACAGCTGAGCCCTGAGTTTGAACGCTGCCCGGGAGGCCAGTACCCCTACCCCCTGCCTGGGGAAGGGCAGTTGGGCTCAGCCCCTGGTGTTAGTAGCCACCTGCCCCAGGCCTTGACCTGGCCCACCTGTAGCCACAAGAGCTTTGGCCACAGTGCCGGGCCCTGCATCTCGTTCTGTGTGATGGGGCCTGTGTTTTCCAGTCTAACAAATGAGAGGTTATAAAGAAAAGACTTCAAGGTTTCGGGGCACCAAAAATTTCTTTTCAAATAACAGCATTTGAAGCCCTAATACCTAAAGCAGATAAAAGTGGAGCCACTCAGACAGAGTGGGCCTGGTGGGCTAGACCCCACCCTCCAGGAACAGCCCTCCTCCTTGCCCAGCTCCAGGGAGATCCTTGGGTTCCATGACTCACACTTTGAGGACCTGGTGCTGGGCCTGCTCCAGAGAGAGGAGCATGGCTCAGGTCATCCTGAGACACCCCCTTACTGTGAGGGGCACAGGGCCATCTTCTAGCTGGAGAGACAGGAGGAAGTGACTGGCCACCGAGTCAGCACTTCTGTGTGTCCTGGGTCCTGATCCCGCAACCTCACGTATTTCTCAGGACCGTCTCACGAGGGGTGTCCCTGCCTATTTTACAGATGAGGAGGGGCTCTGCCAGGACGCACAGCTGCCCGCCGGGGCCCAGGTCAAAGTACGGATAGGGTAGGGTGGGAGGGTACCCCTCAGTGGGCGCCTCTCCTGAGCTGGGAGGTTCCGGTCACCCGACAGCCACCTGCAGACGTGCCAGGCATGAGGTGGGGAACATGTCCTGTCACCACGAGGTACAGCTGTGCCCTCCCATCCTCAGGACAGTAGGGGCGGGCGATTAGCCTCTGTGGTACCTCCTGTGCCAGGCTGGCCTGAGGGTGGCCACGGACATCGTGAGGGCAGGCGGGAAGCGCAGGGCCGGGTTCCTGAGCCCGGCCGCCCACCAGGCAGCACGAGGCAGAGGCGAGGGGCTCTCAGGCCTCCCCGGGAAAGGCTGCTCCCCTTTGGGGTGGGAGCTGGGAGGGCAGGGGCCAGTCCGGGACTCACACCCTTCCTGGGCCCGTCACCAATGCGTGTGGAGTGAAGTGGTGGAGGGAAGACTTGGGGCCGCCTGTGTCCCCAGAGTTCCCCGGGGCCTGAGGTCCAGGGGGCCTTTTCTCTGTCCGTTTCTGTCCCTCCCTTGCCCCAGGTAGGGGCCCTGCTGGGAGCAGAGCTGGCAGGAAGGGGAGCCAGCTGGGGCTGGACTCCTCACCTTTCAGCCTAGAGCTGCCCTGGGAGCGGGGAGCTGGGGGTGGGGAGAGGAGTGCCTGCACAGAGCCTGGCGAGGGCGGAGGAGGG